TTCATATGAGAACCACATAGAGAACCTGATCCAAAGCCTCTGTGTACTCAGAACAATAAGTCACATATCTGGCACAAGTTCCAATGATATCAGTCAAGGGAACAGTACAGGGAACAGATGGATATCAGTTCCTCCAGTCACAATACAAGTCAACTCTTTACAGCTGTTAAAGCAGCTGCACTACAGACGCAATAGTGCAACAGTCACTGTTGAAGCATGTAGTGTACCAGATACTTGCTTGCATCATCCTAGTGACCTCACTTATATATTACCAATACGAGGCAAGGGATTTGATACACTTGCAAAACCTAAAATGTTATTTTCTCTCAAGTGTGCAGCCGCCTTCATTTACTCCAAAGCTTGAAGAACAAAGTAGCAATAGCACAAAGGACCAGATCCCAGCACCGATTTCATCGTGTGTCCTTAGTATTGTTGTATCTTTGTTAATGTTATTCACTTGTAATTCCTACTCAGCTTAGTTAGAAGCATCTCGTAGGATATCTTTGTAAACGATAAACGTTGTGTTTGTGTTTGACTAGAGTTAGTCAAAGTTGTGAGCTTTGTAATAGAGTTATTTCAAAGAAGCTCGCAATAGAGTTATTGCAAGTAGGTGAGGGATTAAGAGTTTAATTCCTAGGTTCCAATAGGTTGTAATCTAAAGTTGCTCGGTTAGTAAAGTTGAAATACTATGAGTGTAGGTCGTTGTTTTTTATCCCGCGAGTTGGGAGTTTTCCACGTAAAATACTGTTGTGTTATTTACTTACCGCTATGTTTGTGTTATGTGGGAACTGATAGAGAACCAAATTCTCTATACAGTTTGGTGGATTCTTAGTACTCTTAGTTTACATTAATTTTACTCTATTTAGACTCATTTTATACCAAAATACTAGTAATCGATTTGTTCTTCTTTTTTTTATAGCAAATTATGGTTCCTCTAAATTTTAAGGTTCTCTGAATTTCACTTATTCATATTTGAATTAGATATACTGCAACGACAATTAAGCATTTACTCTTCAATTAGGTGTATCGTCTATCTCGTATGATGGTTTATATACTTAGAGAAGATCGTTTTACATAATCATTGAACATTCTTTAATATCTTTATTTTAGGGAATAACTTGATATTTCCAATATTACAGTTCAAGCTTTTCAAGTAGGGACAGACATCATCGAACAAAACAGAGGTTTTGTTTATTAAAAAACCTTGGTAACTCTTTCTTGGAGAGACAATTGATGCTTAACAAATTACACTTGAATCACGACGCAAAATGGATTAAAAAAAAAATAATCTGTTCATATTATCCAATAAAAACAGATTGAATAATGAACTTTTTAAAAATGTGTCATATATGGATAAGATCTATATTATGTACTTAAAAATGAATAATGAATGAATTTAACTTTTACATTTGCAAATACTCAAATTGCGAGTTATTCAAATTTGAAAGACTAGAAATTCTCTCAAAAATAATCATATTCAAGAAGCGTTCTGCCGGTTAACCCACTTTCTATCAATATTAAATATGAATCGTATCAAATATTTTATCCGTTTTCAATCCGTCTATAGCCAAAGCGACCCCGTTTGCCTCCCCTAATCGTGATTTTGAATCTTAATCACCTTGTAGTCATTGTTGTTCTATTAAATCCCTTTTCACTTAGTAGCTATGTGGAAAAGAAAGTTTGATAAGTCCCTTTTCTTTGTGGTGATGGGGGATGGGGGCAAATGANGGGGTTGTGCTTTGTTGTGTCCAGCGCAAATGCAAAATTGATGTCCATGGCTCTCCCGTCAAAGTAATGAATGCCCTATCTCTTTATTTATTATTATATTATAATGGACAAAATTTTATGACTTTATTATTATAACAGGTAAAGCTTAATTAATTAAATACGGTAAAAATTATTTTGTCGCTTGATTGTTAAATTAGATAAAGTTTAGTTACTTACAAAAAATATTTTTATTACTTTGACGTTCAATAATATTCAATGATCGGAACATGAAATTAATTCAGGGATCCAATTTTATGAGCTCTTGTCATTTAATGTTGTCTAGCTAAATGCCCAAATTTCCTTTCAATGGATGAAAGTATCCAGATAGAAAGGTTTGTCTTTCTTTTTAATTACGAAAATTGGGGGAAAAAAAAATCCATCTTCCAAATAGAAGGATCTAGAGTTATAAATAAATAAAGTGGGTGGGGTGGCTGGCAAAAATTTGAAGCCGCCTAAACAGGCAGATCACACTCATTTGAAACTTTATACAGATATAGATGCTTTATTCCAAATGAACAAAGGACTACACGACAAAAATGTTAAACGTTTTTCCATTTTTTTGCCAATTTGGTTAGTTACTCAAGCAAAGAAGTACTCCTAATAGTTCTATAACTAATTATAACAAGTTTTGAAGTAATATAACGATTCTTAAAATTTTCCTCTTTTCTTTAGATATTCTTGTTTTCAATAGCATCATAAGGTAGTGTTGTTTGCATTGTCCAAACATTAGGCCAAGGCACATCAGAGAAAGCTGGTCTTGGATTCACTCAAGAAATGTTGTATTCACTTTAATCAGGCAGGCTGATTCATTAAGTTCTCGCTATGCACGTGATCCGAAAAAGTATCGGATCACAAAGGTTTATTGTACGTATTCTTACCCTGTATTTCTGCAAGAGGTTATTTTCACGACTTAAATTTATAATCTCCTGGTCACATGACAACAACTTTATCAGTTTTCCAAGACTTCCCTCCATTCATTTTAACTTGGCAACTAACTTAAATTGTTATTGCTACAATTAGGGATATGGGTATACATGGACCAGGTTGACTCGGTTTCTATCAGAACCAAACCAAACCAACCATATCATTTTGGATTGGTTCGGTTTTGTCGGGTTTTCGGAATTTTTTTGTTACATGAATATATGATATTACTTGCTAAATTTTAAGATAAGTAAATATATGTTTAGTAAAAATTGAAAACATTAATAAATATATGATATATTAAAATATTCTTATGGGAAAGTTTTCTTAGTAACACATAATAGTATTTTTTTTGTTGTCTCACAATAATTTTTTCTTGATGTACACTTTCAAGGTTAACCGAATTTAATAATTAAATATAAAATTTAATATGATACCTAAATTATGTTCTATTTAATTTTAAATTATCGAAATACCACTTCAAATTTGAAAAGATATACGAATTTAATAGATCATGACATATGAATATGGAAGAACAAAGAGATTGACGCATTTCAATAACACTTGATAAGAAAGTGATCATATAACCCATTATTTAAAGTTAATAAAAAGGGAGCACTTCATATTCTATTAAATATTACATCCCATAAGAGAATCCCAAATATTTCTAGATATTTTTTAAAGAAAATTCTATATAAAGTCTTAAAAGTATATATAAAAATTATATATTTATATGTCGGTTTGGTTCAGATTTTTTACTCAATACCAAACTAAATCAGACCAAACCAAATCGGATTTTTTTAAGCGGTTTGGTTTGACTTTTCGGTTTGGTGCGATTTTTCGATTTGGTTTGTACACCCCTAATTAGGGACATCAAATCGACGGAATAAAACAGGGAGAAATTCAAAAATAGCCAAATTTACAAGTGGTAATTGAAAAATAGCCACAGTTTCAAAAGTAATCGAAATTTAGCCATTTTTCATGTAAAGATACATCTAGACGAAAACACTGTTCAAAATACGAAAAATATATCCAATATAATATACTGGAGTTCCAGCATAATATACTGGAGTTCCAGTATAATATACCAGTCCAGTATAATATGCTGGAAGTTTATACTTAGGTGCTCCAATTTCCAGTATATTATGCTGGAACTTTTCGCGTGTTGGAGTTCCAACATAATATGCTGGAAGTTCATACACAAGTGCACCAATCTCCAGTATATTATGCTGGATCGGTCCGTATTGCAGCAAAATAGTGCTATTTTTCAATGACTTTGCAAATAGTGGCTATTTTTGAATAACAATCCGACAACTGACTAGCCCGTGCTATTTTTACGATAAAACATATTGAATCAGTGACGAATTATGATCAATCTATTTCACTTTGGAATGGACTGCACAAGTCCGGAAGTGTTACTAGTATTTTCCTTTTAAGACAACAGGAAACACACATGAATAACATTCTTGCAATACTTTTTAGTAAAGTTAACAAAAAATAACTGATGAAAAAAGACAGAGAAATAGCAATTCGAAGGGGTCAAATTTTGTTACTACTATTTTCCCTTTAAGACGAAGAAAAACAGATGAATAACATCAGTTGATGTCTTATCAAAATAACCAACAAATAATGTTAATGATAAGCAATGCAAGTTTGGTTTATTTTGTCAATTTTGCAATAATTTTTGGGACAAGTGCACAAATAGTCATTCTAACAGCCCTTTAGAGTGGCTATCTAGTATCATCTCTACATAATTTTTAGTATAGTTAACACGAAATAACTGATGAAAAAGGACAAAGAAATAGCAATTCGAAAGCAAATTGTTTCTTCAAATAACAGGAGTAATCTTAGAACTTGAATGTAAGAATTGCTCAATATGTGGCACTATACACACTTTTGGGTGAAAACCCCCATCACTTGGACCACACTGGCATACATTTTTAAAAATAATCGACTTGTGTGTTCCTGGACTATTTCACCGATTACAACTATAATACAGATACATAATAACTTTGCCGACCAAAACTTAAGTAGATAGGACTATAATTCATTAGGTCGTTTCTGATCGGCCCACAAAATTTTAGGCGATTCGGAGCCCGTCGCCCCAATTCATAAAGATGGCGTGGACATTAGCACACGCACACGAAAAATCTCCTAGTTTTTGAACCATACAAACATACAGTAGCACTGATTTCCAACATTACCATTCTGTGGCAATGTACTATATGTTACAACTTGACAAAATTACAGAATCCTCTAATACAGGTAGAGGAAAAGAAAATGAAGAGCGACTTAAGCAGGAGCAACAAGTGTCATTGATGATGACATCTGCTCGACCCGATTGACATGTCTTTGATCGATTTCAGGATGAGCTTTTCGAGTCCTTTTGCAGCTAGCCCTGGTCTTAGAACACTAGGATCGCCCCATTCACCGCAAGGATCACTGAACCAATTTGAGCTACCTAAACACCAACCTCCAGGTGAGACCATACCCCGACCACGATTAAGAATGTGTGCATCAATCATGTCCAATAAGGGAGAATCTGCGGAAATGTTGCCAACGAATGCAACATCCCTTCTTAGTATTCTATCGGAATTTGAAGCTCTGAAGATTGAGGGATCCCGTGCAGTGTTGTCTGAGTTAACGAACCGCAAGTTGGAGTTGATGACAGCGTCTGAAGACTCCTTAGTATTGCACGCAAGAGTCTGAAAATATCCTTTATGAGAAGATCTAGTGTTCGAGAAGTATAGCAGAAGCAATCTTGGCAAATTTTCCCATCCCTGGATCGCGTACTCAACAAACTTCCTGTTCAGAATTACATGTTGAGAACCTGACGAATCAAGCAAGCTTTGGTCAACAAAATAGCATTCAACAAACGTGTTATTCTTGAAGGGAACCTCTCTGAGGATCCATAAACGACTTCTGAAGCGCTCAAAGAAATTATCAGAAAACATTTTTGCCTGACTGAAGAAGTGAAAAATGAAAGAAGCAATTAAGACCAGACAAACATGTAAAGAGGCACCAATAGATACTTGTGGAGTACAACGGGCAACAAAAGCCTAGGATTTTGAATGCAACACAGTTGTTTAGCGAAACAGAAAGTTTCAGAACTGATTTTCCTCAATAGGCAATTAAAATAATGCTCACTGCAAAAAAGAACTTCAAGAAGACATATGCTCGGTAGATGCTACCATAAATGTACTACTCCCTCTGTCCCAATTTGTTTGATGCATTTCGAACATCGAGAGTCAAACTTTTTGTGAGAAGGCACGGGAGAAAATATGTTATTGATATTGGATTAACAATACAATACAAGAGGTCCTTATTTATAGCTATACTATACAAGGACATACTACTCTTCTACCAATGTGGGACAATACTACACTATATACATGCTGTAGACTAACACTCCCCCTCAAGCGGGTGCATACAAATCATATGTACCGAGCTTGTTACATATATAACCAATACGAGGACCAGTGAGA